TGGCAAGAACAAATCCTTGATTGCCGTTTTCTTGGCCACAATAGTAGCGATGGTTGATTGGGGTTTTGTGTACAACCTGGTCAGCTCGGAGACACACACTCCACTTTCACACTTAGCAATGATCTCTTTCTTCATATCCATAGTAATTCTCACCCTTTCTGCTGTAGGGTTGGCACTAGAATCTTTCTTGGAGCCCATGGTGACTTATTTTGCAGGTGCAATCACTAAAAACTCTGTGATAATATGAAATGTTCCGATTGTATGTTTGGATGGGACCACAGTGGCTGGCTGGCTTGTAAACACTGGCCACAAGTGGATGCGTCTCAGATGGAACAAATCATGTTGGTCGAGTTTTTTAGTGCTAGTCGAGGCAAAATTTTTGCATTAAAATGTATCGCTAGTCGGATTTAACGTTAGACGATGCCATCGTTGGTCGAGGGTCCACTGTATTCATACAGGTTATGGAGCATGTTGATATTAAAGCTAGATAACTGCATTACAGTTTGTAAATTTAGCAATGAGAATGGTTTTGTCTTGGCATGATACACAGTTTCTATTAAAGCTTCTATATTGCAGTATCTCAGGCAAACTTATGACCAGTTTAAGATTTGTTACCTGGAGTTTACCTGGAGAGAGTTCCAGGAGTCAACGCCCCTGCGGCCCGGTCTGTAACCAGGCCTCATGGTGGATCAGAGCCTGATCAATCAGGCTGTTACTGCTGGCTGCATGCAATCCAACATACGAGCCACAGCCCGGCTGGTCAGGTACCGACTTTAGGTGCTTGTCCAGTGCTTGCTTGAAGACAGCCAGGGGTCTATTGGTAATCCCCCTTATGTATGCTGGGAGGCAGTTGAACAGTCTTGGGCCTCTGACACTTATTGTGTTGTTCTTAATGTTGTAGTGACACTCTGCTTTTCATTGGGGGGATGTTGCATCGTCTGCCGAGTTTTTTGCTTTCATAGTGAATGATTTTCGTACGCAAGTTTGGTACTAATCCCTCTAGGATTTTCCAGGTGTATTTAATCATGTAGGAGTGAGGAAGAGCCAGTTGTGAGTGTGGGGGAAGTTCGTGAGGCAGTAGGTAAAATGAAAGGGGGTAAGGCAGCCGGGATTGATGGGATAAAGATAGAAATGTTAAAAGCAGGTGGGGATATAGTTTTGGAGTGGTTGGTGCAATTATTTAACAAATGTATGGAAGAGGGTAAGGTACCTAGGGATTGGCAGAGAGCATGCATAGTTCCTTTGTATAAAGGCAAAGGGGATAAAAGAGAGTGCAAAAATTATAGGGAGATAAGTCTGTTGAGTGTACCTGGTAAGGTGTATGGTAGAGTTATAATTGAAAGAATTAAGAGTAAGACGGAGAATAGGATAGCAGATGAACAAGGAGGCTTTAGGAAAGGTAGGGGGTGTGTGGACCAGGTGTTTACAGTGAAACATATAAGTGAACAGTATTTAGATAAGGCTAAAGAGGTCTTTGTGGCATTTATGGATTTGGAAAAGGCGTATGACAGGGTGGATAGGGGGGCAATGTGGCAGATGTTGCAAGTGTATGGTGTAGGAGGTAGGTTACTGAAAGCAGTGAAGAGTTTTTACGAGGATAGTGAGGCTCAAGTTAGAGTATGTAGGAAAGAGGGAAATTTTTTCCCAGTAAAGGTAGGCCTTAGACAAGGATGTGTGATGTCACCGTGGTTGTTTAATATATTTATAGATGGGGTTGTAAGAGAAGTAAATGCGAGGGTCTTGGCAAGAGGCGTGGAGTTAAAAGATAAAGAATCACACACAAAATGGGAGTTGTCACAGCTGCTCTTTGCTGATGACACTGTGTTCTTGGGAGATTCTGAAGAGAAGTTGCAGAGATTGGTGGATGAATTTGGTAGGGTGTGCAAAAGAGAAAATTAAAGGTGAATACAGGAAAGAGTAAGGTTATGAGGATAACAAAAAGATTAGGTGATGAAAGATTGAATATCAGATTGGAGGGAGAGAGTATGGAGGAGGTGAACGTATTCAGATATTTGGGAGTGGACGTGTCAGCGGATGGGTCTATGAAAGATGAGGTGAATCATAGAATTGATGAGGGAAAAAGAGTGAGTGGTGCACTTAGGAGTCTGTGGAGACAAAGAACTTTGTCCTTGGAGGCAAAGAGGGGAATGTATGAGAGTATAGTTTTACCAACGCTCTTATATGGGTGTGAAGCGTGGGTGATGAATGTTGCAGCGAGGAGAAGGCTGGAGGCAGTGGAGATGTCATGTCTGAGGGCAATGTGTGGTGTGAATATAATGCAGAGAATTCGTAGTTTGGAAGTTAGGAGGAGGTGCGGGATTACCAAAACTGTTGTCCAGAGGGCTGAGGAAGGGTTGTTGAGGTGGTTCGGACATGTAGAGAGAATGGAGCGAAACAGAATGACTTCAAGAGTGTATCAGTCTGTAGTGGAAGGAAGGCGGGGTAGGGGTCGGCCTAGGAAGGGTTGGAGGGAGGGGGTAAAGGAGGTTTTGTGTGCGAGGGGCTTGGACTTCCAGCAGGCATGCGTGAGCGTGTTTGATAGGAGTGAATGGAGACAAATGGTTTTTAATACTTGACGTGCTGTTGGAGTGTGAGCAAAGTAACATTTATGAAGGGATTCAGGGAAACCGGCAGGCCGGACTTGAGTCCTGGAGATGGGAAGTACAGTGCCTGCACTCTGAAGGAGGGGTGTTAATGTTGCAGTTTAAAAACTGTAGTGTAAAGCACCCTTCTGGCAAGACAGTGATGGAGTGAATGATGGTGAAAGTTTTTCTTTTTCGGGCCACCCTGCCTTGGTGGGAATCGGCCAGTGTGATAATATAAAAATAAAAAAAATATCTCTCCCACCTGCATTCCAGGGAGTACAGGTTCAGGAACTTCTAGCACTCCCAGTAATTGAGGTGTTTTATCTCCGTTATGCGTGCCATGAAGGTTCTCTGTAGATTTTCTAGGTCAGCAATTTCACCTGCCTTGAAAGGTGCTGTTAGGTAATAGCTTTATTCAAAATTTCATGTTTACTTGGGTGAGTGTAAGTGTAAATTGGGCGTAATCACAGATATTGAGAGTAGGTCTAGTTTGTTTTTTATGTGTGCATGATACAAGTAAGAGAATAGGTGGTTTTCATGTAGCTCGCTGATGGTGGGGTGTGTCAGGGAGATAAGATGTTTTTTAACAGTAGTTTTGAAAGTGATGGTTGTGGCTGCAGTTCTAATTTAAATCCATTATTGTTTTCCACAATCAGCTCTCCTTGCACTGTATCATTCACTCGTCTACCCTTATCTCACATATGGAATTTGTGCATGGGGATCAACAACATTAAATCACCTAAGACTTACTAATAACCCAGCAAAAGGCTGCAGTCAGAATGATAACACATTCCCACCCCCGACAGCATACTCCACCAATATTCAAAAATCTAAAACTGCTCACTGTTAAGAACATCCATACTTATTCATGTGCCTTCTACATACATAGAACACAACACTCAAACATAAACCCTCCACTCAAACTTCTCCTCACCAACCTTAACAGGACACACGACCACAATGCAAGACACAGATCTCTTTTTGATGTACCCCGTGTCCATATTTCACTGTAAAAACTCTATACACATAAAGGCCTCAAAATTTGGAATTCATTGCCAGTAAATATTAAAGTAATCAGGTGTGAATACCAGTTTAAGGCTCTTCTCAAAAACCACCTACTCACCCTAAACTAAATACTCAATACTCAGTATTTAACTTTACCGAAAAATTATCCAAATCTTAAAACTTCAAATCTAGATGCCCAAAGCTCATACATTATTAATCCTACTTTGTAGTATAAATACCTACCCAAAACAATACTGCCTTACACCCAGTTGTAGCATTCTCATACTGTAAACTACTTTCAACAACTCAGTGTTATATTCCAATAATTTAATTTCAACATTCATTATTGAAACTATTGTAATTAGAGTAAAACTACTGTCTGCTATAAACAAAGATGTATAACTTAAACAAACTATGATCAATTTCTTTAGTATTAAGTAGTCTGTAAGCCACTAAATTAAGTTGGCCCATAATGCCTAGGCATGATAGTGGCTCTCTTTGCACTATACCCCATTATTGTAATTTCATAATCTCAATGTAAGCTTGCAAAGAAATAAACTTTGTTTTTGTTTGTTTGTTCTTTCTTCTGGTATCCTGGGCATTGCTTTCAGTCACAAACTCCTCAAGACCATGAAATTCATCTTCTGAGACACTTCAATCTGTGTTGGATCTATCACTTGGGAAAAGAAGAGGCCCAGATTCACCAGGGAGTCAGATATTTCTTACCGCTAGGCATGCTGAACAAGGACTACTGAAATGGCATTCCCACAATGCACCACTGGCTCCCTGATTTTTTATATACTGCTCACACTGACCATGGAGACCCATTCTCTCACATGTGGGCCTACCAACTTTCTCCCACTTTATTTGAAGCTGCTAGAATTTATGCGTATTAATACGTCGGAAACATTGGCTCATAAGATGTACATGTATATATATGGCCGAAACAGTCAAAGGGTTAAATGGTTAACATTATATGGTGTGACAAGTCTTTAAAATGTATGTTGGCACATTAACCATGAGTCAGCCACCCATCACCTCTCACCTGTTACTCTCCCCTCCAGTTACACAGTTAAAACTGTGAAATATTCTGATGGGGTGATGATGGAGTGATGATGCAGTGATGATGGGGTGACAATGATGATGGAGCTGCTCTAGGCCAAGGGAATATTGTATTTCCTGCCCCAACACAACAATAAATGGAACTTGTTATTTTCATGTGTCTAAGAAGTATCTCCTGACACCTCCCAATATTCATAGCCCTACACACACTTCATGCAAGACTGTGCTCCATTCCATATGTCAAAACAAGTTGAGAAATGGTTGCAAAACCACCTAACCACCTGAAATTAGAAACAAGTATCCTTTGTAAGACTTGATAAAGATTACATAATGTAACTTTCCAATAAAATTTTGTTGCACGGCATGTCTTTTCTTCAGTATTATAGGGCAGGAAGTAGGCCATTCATATCCTTTGAATTTTTTTCTTCACTGCATAATTCTTGCCAGGTTCATCCCGGGGAGACAGCTTTGGCCTTCTACACTGCTAGGAACCCCACTGAGCGTCCTGTGATTGGTATATCAACATATAATGTTATTCCATTTGATGCGGGCCAATACTTTAACAAGATCCAGTGCTTTTGTTTTGAAGAGCAACTCTTGAACCCCCATGAAGAGGTTAGTACCCTATTACAGCCAGTGACATTAGTACTTGTTTGCTATTGCATTTGTAATTCATTATTTTCACCTGTTATTTAAACCTTTTATTGCATCCAGTGTCATTATCCTTTAATCTAAGGTGAATAGATGGTCACTTAATTTCAGTATCCCCATTATAGGTGGAGGGGTTTCTCTAGACATGGTGAAGGGCTTTTGAGTTGAGGAATTAGACTTTTTGTCTCTTTTTCAGATTAAATCATTTAATTTAACCCGTAAACGGTCCAAGCAGATCTACGTTCACGTGTGTAGTGCTACAAAAGTAGATCTACGTTTTTTTTTTACATATTTTCAAATATAACAAAAAAAAAGTAGATCAAAGTTTTTTTTTCACATTTTCAAATGTAAAAAAAACAAAAAGAAGATCTACTTTTTTTACATACTTTCAAATGTTGAAAAAACGTATATATACGTTTGGACCGTTTACCGGTTAAGTATCCCATTACATTCTCTTTCCTTGCAGCTCCTCTCTTTTGATTTTCAGCTCCTAGGCAGAGAGAAAGGAGATTGTTGTCTGTCCCTTCCATTGGGGACATCAGTAGTGGTGCTGTTTTTCCATGGTAATTAGATTATCTGGGGACTTATTGCATCACCTTTCAGGACCCCAGTAAGCAGCCTTGTCCTTAGGTGACAGAAGTTTTCCTGGTGGCTGACTGTCAGTTCCAGGAGGGTTACCAAAGGGATATGACTCAGCATTTCTGGTTTCCCACCTGTCTTGTTGGCTGAGCCTGGCTTAGTTGACTCTAGAAGTGCTATCCTGGTGTACTGGTATAACAGTTAGGGTAAGGAGTGGTTTCCATGCAGCATCAGCACTGCTGGCTGTGAGAAAGGTACTCAGGGACCCAGAGGAGGATACACAATTTCATTTTTGTTTCTTCTCAGGGTTGCCCTTCTCCTTTTTTAAGTAAAAAGAAAGAAACAGACATGAATAGTAACTTCTTACACATGCACCACCCTAACTTCACCCTAGCATGTCCACACACCTCCCTGCAGCATCCTAACATCACCCAGCATGCCCACACACCCCCCTGCAGCACCCTAACCTCACCACAGCATGCCCACACACCTTCCTGCAGCACTCTAACCTCACTCCAGCACACCCACACACCTCCCTGCAGCACCCTAACCTCACTACAGTGTGCCCACACACCTTCCTGCAGCACTCTAACCTCACTCCAGCATGCCCACACACCATCCTGCAGCACCCTCTCCTCACCCCAGCATGCCCATACACTGTCCTGCAGCACCCTTACCTCACCCCAGCATGCCCTTGGTATTGCTTCTGAGCAGTGTCTTGTTGCCAGACTCTGGCACAGATATTCACACTGATCTTTTTGATATGACTTGACATAGTTCCTGGCTTCTCCCACAATAGCGCCTTGATTTTTGGATCATTCGCTCATCACAGGAGTGACTGACTTAAAGCCATCGTTCAGATGACTTCAATTCTTACTTGACAATCCTGACACTTATTCGCACACCTTGTTCTATCCCAAGAAATATTATCTGGAAACCTCTTCTGGTACAGGCTGTATTCCAAAGGCAATCTTGGATGAAATTCTTTACTCTTCATCCAACAACCCTTACTTATTACCTTACCAGTCATAGCACTAGCAAGGCACTCATGAGGCATTTTGGTGAAAATATATCCTTCCATACCCTTAGAGGGATTGTGTATTGTTACTGTGAAAGATACTGAACAAGCTGACAACCTCTCCTTTATTCTCACTTTTGATGACACTCCTGTCACAATACGAAGACATCCCTTCTTCAGTTCTAACTGTAGTCCTCATCCTGCATGCTAAAGTCCAACAAGACTTTATGTAATGTGGCCCAAACATTCAGGAGTAACTTGAGCTCCAGTCTCCCTGTCACCAAACTTATATCAGGGTGGAAACTTACATCCACCCTGTTGGAGATATTATCCAAGCAACATTACCAAGCTGACCTCTGACTGCATTACTTCTAGCCTTGATTTATATAGCAGCACAGAGTTTACAAGTGTGAGAATTGCTCCCAACACCTCCATGCAGACATTGTTGGTGCTTGACCACCCCATCAAATATTATAGATCATCAACAGCATGCCCAGTCTGCAATGCCACTGACCATAATAATCCATCCTGCAGCCAATCCCCCACTTGCCTTAACTGTGGAAAAGCTCACCTCATGTATTCCTGCCTTTGCCCTGTTGTGTTACGAGAGAGAAATCTGCTGTCTCAAGGAAAAGAAGAGCTTATAAGCAGTGGCATTGACTCAACTCCATCTCCAAAGAAGACTTCCACGGCTCTTCTCCTCTGGAGCTGCTCAGCACACACAGGTCCTTATTGTACCCTTTTGTACAGTCTCCTGTGTCCAATCCTTATGAAGTCCTCACCTCTGATGTTTCTACCTCTTTACCTTCTTCCTTTCTGGGGCCTTCAACTCTTCCTCCAAAAACTCATGGACCCAAAACTTTTCCAGTCACCTAAACTTCCTAAAAACTTGTTCCACTTCCACCAACTTAACTTTCCCTACCTCTGTGATTTTTTCCCTACCTCCTCCTACTACTGTGGCAGTAGTGAAAATCCATCCATCCCATCATTGTCACTATCCCTCGTGTCCTCACGCAGGTTCCTTTACTTCTAGACTCCACTATCTTCTTGCAGTCTCTCTCTATTTTGCCAGTTGCCAATGTCTCTCCACTTTCTATTCCATCTACCTTTTCTGCCTCTTATGCTATGCCACCTGTTCCCTTGTCTATAGAGACACTCGAAGCCATATAAGATCATGTTGAAAAAAACCAAGACGGATGTTGACCCATCCTCTTTACCTTGACATTTCACCCTCCACAACCCCCTATATCTACTTTTATGCTACATTATACAGCTACAGTTACCCACAAATCTCTTATTACTGGTTTACCACTGTCTCCACACGTTGACCTTATTGATCATTCCAGTCCGTAGCCAGTGACTGTTTTCTGTTGCTGCTGTATTACTAGTCACTCATAATGGCAGTATTACAGTAGAATATCTAAGGATACAGAGGGAATCAGGGAGAGCTCCAGTTGATGCTCTCTCAATTTTCCTCTGTATATACGTATTTGTTTATGGGAACCAGTAATAGACTTCCTATTACTGACTTTGTTGTATTACTATCCCTTGATCCTTTTTCCAATGAGACATACAGCAAAAATACACTTCTTGTGTGCATTGATATTCCTTATTATTGACTTTTATTTCATACTCCACTTCATTATACTGTTGCCCGTATCTATTTAGATAAGTCATAGACAGTCTACTTTTTGCATCTATCTCCTTGCCCATTATATATCCCCAATATCTAATTCCTGATTTCTTCTTTATCTACTCCATTCCTTTGTAGTACTAGGAAGGGTTTCACTGTGACTCTTGTGGGGACCATTTAGAGGCTTTTCTCACTTCTCTTTCTCTAAACACTGGTATCACCACACATTTAGAGCCTCACATTCATTCTTTCTTTTAGAGCTCTGTCTATATGCTCTTCTTCTATAGTGCTGGGCTTTGAATGATCTGTAGTATCTGATCTTCATGACGGCAATCATGATCCTGTTCTCCTTACTTCTCATTCTTTCACTGACTTTCTCATTGCTCCTATTAGTAGATTGAGCAGGCAGATTGGGTGCTTTATACACACCATAGCTCTTTATTCCTGATGTTCCTCTTTACTTCATCATCTTTAGACAAGTTGCTTCAACTTTTTACCACATCACATCCCGGCAGTGGCAGCATCAGCGGCTGCTCCTTAATCTTCGCAGTCCCCTGGGCCAATTTAAGCTCCAATGATGGCATAGTTGCAAGCACTGCTGCGTGATTATACGTGGAACTTATAATGACTCGAGACAACTGATGGTGATGTCAACAAGCTGACCAAATTTGATTAATAGAGGACTGCCCGGCATACCAAACATCAACCTGGCTGCCAGATGTACAACCAGCCAGATGACGTTTACCACCAACATACATTAGCTGCACCTTCACAACTTCGCCAGTGTTCATATGGGAGGGAAACGAAGGAGAAGAAACACCAAGTCGAGCACCAAGGCACCAAGGATACTGTTACCACTCATCCAACCCTGGAGAATGCCACCGTGTCATCTACCCCTCTCACCACTGCCTGGGGCGACAAAACAACAACAATCATGGCGGACGACTCCAAGTCATTCCCAGGATTCATCCCACACTCATCTTTGGCTACTCCTTACCTCCTAACTGATAGCACCACATCAACCATGGCAAATACGCATGACATCTTCACCCCAACCAACAGCTCTGACTACAGCTTGTCAACATCCCTAGGTATGCTACCAGTGCAGAGTCCTCTTCAACAACACACCATTCAGAAAATTTTGCAAGAAAATTATATTCTCAAACAACAAAATGAAACCTATGAAAAAAGGATCACAGACTTAGAACTCTCTCTAGTAACCCATAACTCAAGGATCATTGAACTGGAGACAAAACCAACTTGACAACAAAGACTGAACAACACACAGACATGCAATCAACTCTCATTAGCCACACTAAACAACTAGCTTTTCTAACAACTAAGTTATCAGAGGCTGAACAAGACTGGAAGGCAAACATGGACTCTCAATGGAGTACATGCCTACAGTATCAAAGGAACTTACTGGAACAAGATAAATTACAAGATGATGTTATTGTAAATAGTCCCAGCTTACCAACAGACACAAATCAGGATAACTGCATACAGAATACTCTTCAGCTAATTAAAGACAAAATGCATATCAACATTGAAGCTGCACATATCAAGGAGGCTCGAATGCTAGGCAGACCGGGCCAAAAACTAAGTGTGATGCTAAGATTTCACTCACTTGGCTGAAAAAAAGGACCTTATAGTTTCTTCAGTTCAGGCGGATTGCAGTGTTTGTTAATGAATATTTAACAAGAAAGCGAAAAAACCTGCTGTACCGACTTCATA